GAGTTAATACAAGGAAAATGTGAGGAAGGGCTTGTAACAAAACCAGTTTCTCACTATCTCTCAATAGAGACTTCAGAGCACTTGAGATATGGCACATGCTTTCTATTGTATTCTGCCAGCTACACAGCTTCCAAATTGAACTTTTGGATATGAGTTGTTTAATAAATAACTGATGAGTATAATGTGTTTTGTGGTTTTTTTTTTTTTTAAGCCAGGGAGAGCCTTTTAGTATAGCATGTATGGCCATAACAGGAGGAAAAGTGCCTTGCTCTGCCTAGCACACTTAGCTTGAGCTGCCTGGAATCTGACGTCTTACCCCTCTGTGTTACCTTTGGCGCTTGTGTGAGCAGGTGGTAAAGTGGGTTTAGCAAGCTCAGCTTGCCAGAACAAAAGATCTGGCTGCTGTGTGGAGCACAGGCTTTCAGGTTTCTGGACCTGGAAGGGTCCAGGTGAAGAACAGCTGCAACTCCCACTCCAGAATGCCTCTTGGGGCAGTGGAGCTGCACCCTTCGTCTTACAGCAATGTGAGGAGCTTTAAACAGCTGAAGTGGTGCGGCCCTGAGTTCAGATGTAGACTGGAAACTACACCTCCTCCTATGCGAAGTGATTAATATCTTTAATAGTGCAATTACATGGTGATTAAAATATGGTATTCTGGTACTCAGAGGTAAATCTGTATCTATTGCAGACTTGTCTAATTTGGCCTCATGGCACCCATCCTCTTGTCTTTCAAAACAATAGCTTTCCTCTTGGTGAAAGCTTTCTTTACAAAACACTAAATCCTTTCCTGAGGCAGATTTTTTTTTTTTAAGGTAACTCCCTTTTTTTTTTTTTCTGGTTAGTGACACAAGTGGCTTGTTCTTTAGTGAATGGTTCTGTTCTTGTAATTTCATCCTTCACAAAACAGGAAAATGATGCTGCCCTCCCTGATACAGGGAGGAATACTGACAAGTAAAATGCACAAAGTAAATAACTTGTATTGAAATGCCATCTACTACTGTAAATGAAATTTTCTTCTTTGCCATTACCATAAAAGATATTTTTGAGAAGAAGCCTCGTGGTGCACCTACAGCAATGTGACCTGGTCTGTTCTTCATTTATACCTGGAGTTCTACTTAATAACTCAAACTTTTAAAATATCTAGGATGCTGTTAATGTTGCAGAACCAGTAAAACCAAGGGAAAAATGCTAGAATTACTTTAGTTACTGAGGGCCAAAGCTATGTCTTGTTTCACACTTCTACTGTTACAGTGCACTGAAGGCTAAACGTCCCTTTGTGTGCCTTACCAAACTCGGTTTGGAAATGACTTTATAATTATGTAATTTTTTTACATGAGCAATGAGTAGGACTCAAGCAAATACTTGAGGAAAAAAACCTTTGATCTGGAACACCACCAGTCTCAAAAACGTTTTTTTTTCCTGAAAACTGGTATTTGTGAAACTTTCAACCTTCACTAGATTGGGCAAAAAAAGTGTCACTTTGGTTTATACTTTTCTAAGACAATAAAAAGATGACAGCTTGGTTCTGGAGTAGTGATTTTTAAAAATTAATAATAATTTTATTTTTTAATGGAGGAGGAATTGGCATGTGAGAATTGCTGTTGGAGTATTGCTGCTGGAGTCCAGGATACTGAAAGTTCTCTTAGATTCCTGACTCTTGCCTTCAGGGAGTACGGTATTCCTAAAAGCTTTCTTGCCACAAAACAGGATAAATAAAACTCTTCATTATAAATTTCTGGAGTGGAAAGGGGAGTCTTCCTGAGCTGAAGGCATGCCTTTTTAATCTTTTGTTTTTAGTTCAATTATTTCAAATATCTTCACTGTACGTGTCTGCAGCTGTCCGACACACAGCTCTGGTGCATGTTTTATAAAGTGTAAACTGAAAAGATTGCTCTCTAAACCCCACTGTGCAGATCAATGACTGTATTTATTTTTCCCATACAGTTTCTCTGCTGGCTTTTAAATCTTTTTATGTACTTTAACCCTATGTGTGTCATAATCTTATAAAAGATGCTCCTTGGAGATCAAAAATATTAGAAATGCTAATGAAGTTCCTACTTCCTGAATGTAAGGAGGAGAATATTTTAGGGGAAGACTTCCTGGCAGGGGAAGAAGAGGTGTTAAATGAAAAACCCTGGAATTTCATACTTGGTCACCCAAAACAAGTGACCTGACTCATTTCAGTTAGCCCTCTTGAGTACAAACTATTCTGAAATACAAAGCCTGACTGTGTACACGCAGTGGGAGGACGGGTGAAGGGTGTTTTTCTTATGCTTGAACATCAATCTGGGAAGCTAATCTTAGTTTCTCATTCCTTAGTTCTAGTTGTGTTTTTCTGTTTGTGTATATTTCTTTTCAGATCATTGTTTAGTAATTTAGGTAAAGCTGTTTCTGGCTTCCAATCTGGATGAAATACATTCCTGTGTACCAAAGTAGGTGATGAGTTAGACTTGTGTGTAGTAGGGAGGGTTTATGTATACAGAAGTGGCTGTTGCTCTGGCTTAATTGGTTACCTGTCATTAGCAAAGCCATGGCAGCGGCCTCTGCTTCGTGATTAGCATGAGCTAAATGTATCAACTTAAACTCCCACCAAGGCTTAACTGGCGTGGCTGATGAAATGGCTCTTTCCTTCAGCAGTGGCAGGCCAGCAGCATGCACATGGTCACTAGCAATGGGTTACCTGACTGGCACCTTGCTAAGCGTTGGTGACTTGATTGCTTGTAGCCACGCGTGGCTCCTGTCTAGGTACAGGTCTCAACAGGGTTTCATACATGACGAGTTGCAGTTACTGAATGGCTTAGCTTTAGAGGAGTTGTGGTAATTGTGGATGCTTCCTTGAACTTCTGAAAGGTTATTCTCAAAACTGGCTAGATGGCAGCTTGAAAGTAAAGTTATCTCTGTCAGGTCAGAAATGTGAACACATTTTTATTAAGAAGTATGTATGCTTCAGCAGATTTTGGCTTTGTACTTCTTTGAAGCTTTCCTGTTCACTCATGCTTGCTTTTATAAATCCCGTTTTTTAAAAAAACCCAGCACAATGATGTAGTAATTTCTGTTAACTACTTATATTTCATAAAAAATTCTCTTAAATTGTTCTGAACCTTCATGGTTTACATTAAGGAAAAAAACACAGCAGTTATGCAAGTGTTGGGTTGTTCGCTTTAGGACAATTAAACTCTGCAGTCACTTCTTTAGGAGTCTTCAGCCAGTTCCACCTCAACACAATCCAGGCTCCGTCTCGGTGGCTGGAGCGTTGCGGCTCTATCTTGCATGCTGTGAAAGCTGGCTTTCATGGTGGCTAATGATGTACTATCTGTTTCCTGCTCCCAGGAGATTTACTGAGCTAAAACACTATAGCGATGAACTGCAGTCTGTCATATCACACCTTCTGCGAGTCAGAGCTGTAAGTATTTCCCATGTGTGTCGTGACAAATAGTATAATTTATTTCTAAGGCAGTATTTCTTGTTTAGTCAAGAGAACTGGTGTATATGCTCTAGAATAAGGGCAGTTTTGCCTGAGACAGCCTGGCTCTGGAGTGTGGGGCTGGAGATGGCAAGGGAGGTGTGCTGGCTTAGTACAGATTTAGGGAGGAAAGAGTTCCAAATGTGATGGTTGAGTTTGACAGTCATTGGAGGAGCAAACACAGGCATGTTGCTAATCTGCCCTCTCCCCTGATGGTCACATATCAGAGGGAGGTGTTCTAAAGAGGATCGAGATGTCTGCTTCTCTCTACTCAGCAGACAAGTTGCTTTTGTTGGATGTCTGGCCTGGGAACGGCCCCAAAACACCGTTTTCTGGTCAGACATGTAATACTTTGTTTTCCAGAGCTTGTAGTATGAATTGTGTATGCTTCCCAGCACACCTTTTCTTTTTCTGGCTTGTTCTTTGATCTGTAATGAATAATGTTTTTCTAATGATGAGAACAATTATGTCATGCATCAAGATACTCCATGGGTTGAGAATGGAAGATTTTATTTTTTTAAAAGTTGCAAAAAGGAAATAGGAAATTACAATAATGAGGAGCATGATACTACTTTTTAGTATGTTCAGCAGCCATTTTTGATGGAAACTGTGGCAGAGGACAGTAATTGATTGCCCTGTTGAGCTGAGGTTCTTGAGAGGATTAATCACTGATGTTCTACTCACAGTGCCTTTTTTTTTTTCTGAGCTGTATGCACAGGAGAGCTGTTGGGCAATTTGCTTACGTTTCCTTTTTACTGCTTTGACAGAGCAGTGATGGTAACTGATCGAACTTCGATCTCATTCGTTGGTACATCACAATTACAAGGGCATTACCTAGATTACAAGTCACACTTCAGAGTGAACATGTGGTCTTTTCTTCTGAGGTTGTTGCCAGCATTGTAGTGCTGGCTGCAGCAGGTACTGGCTCTCCAAACAGCTGAAATGACATATCTAGCTTGAGCACTAAGTTCTGCAATGGATAGCTCATTTCCTTTCCATTGTTTCACTGAGCTGGATGGAAAAATCAAGTCACTTGTAAGAATTTTACTGAAGCCTTCCCTACAGTCTTGGTGACAGGATGGACTTTTGTCTTGCCATCCTTATGTTAAATAAGCAAATGGGTGTATAAATTTGGCATTATTCGGGTAAAGGAGGCTGTCTTACATCTGGTTATCAAAAACTGAAGGTACCTTGATTACGTGTGGTCTCCATCGGCAATTCCAAAGAAATACTTGAAATGTTACTTTTCAGTATAGCCTTGACTGTGACTTCAGTCTTCAGAGATTTAATGCTGTTGATTTTCCTTCAGTAGTGGCTTAGATTAGATTTAGACCTAATCTTGTTTACCTGTATAAAAACATTAAGGCTTTGTCTTGAAGTTTGTATATGGGTTTCAACAAAGCAATTGCACTTAATGTTGATGACCAAAATTGACTCTAAATAATGTTTTAGAGGGTAGCAGACCGGCTGTATGGTGTCTATAAAGTCCATGGCAACTATGGAAGAGTATTCAGGTAAGAGTTCATCCGTTTTTTAAATATGTACATAGAAAGAAACACCTGTATATATATTGAGTGAGTGGTTAATTTGTTGTTTATGTTGTTATGCTTTTGAAAAGTATATCTGAAACACTTCAATGCCTGCCTTGAAAAACTTCATATTGCAGTTCTAATGAGGTTTCTGTCTTGGATATAGTGATCTCTGGATCTGCTGAGCTTAGTCTCAAGTGGAAGACTTTAGCTTTTTGTTTTGTGTTCCAGAACTTTGGGGCTTTTGTTGCTGTGTTGGCATTCTGTTTCTTCAGAAAGTAACTTACTACCTATTTTCATGCTGTTGTCTCTGAACAGCTCTAGGTCCTTACAAGGGTTAAAAATCAACAACTATATCCAATTTTAGTACCTTTTTTAAAGTGAATTTGCCAATCGTTTTTTGATTTATATGAGTGAATTGCATGCTCAAGTTTTCCATCTCACTGGAGAATTAAAGAATCTAAACTTCTGGTTAAGGGAAACCTCCTGCTTCTACACACTGTTCAAGTGCTAAATTTAATTCTCTGGGTTAATGGATTGCAGATGTCTTTCTCATTGGGGGTTTTAAAGTGAAATTAGGTGTAGTTCTGTAATAACACAAAGACAAACAAATGTCAACATCAGCAGAGTGGAATGTTTATGAAAAAGTGAAAGAATAGATGCAATAGACATAAATTATGTGAAATATAAGGGGACCCCCTTCTTTTTTCTTGTAAAGAGAGCTGTGAATACAATTCCTGTAACTAAGAAGTCTCAAAAGGTTTCACAAAGCTGAGAACACAATTAAAATTGCAGTGTACATACTTGGATGTCCAGAACAAGTCTCTTGCTACCTTTATTGTAGCTCTGTTTCTTTCTTTATCTAAATGATCTTCCTAATGTGAATAAGTGGTTGCAGTAGTGAGAGGGTTGTAAGTTGATATTTTTTAATGAATAGAACTAACCAGTAGTCTACTATGAAAACAGAACAACATACAGCAAATGGTTTCAGGAGCAGTAAAATGCTTGCAAATTTCGAATCTCACCACCTGATTTTTGGAATGAGAGGCTTCTATCTCATGACTTGCAAGTCTGGAAAGCTTAATTACTCCTTGATGAGCATGTTAGACCGAATTCTGTTTTAGAAAGTTCCGTCTTCAGCCCCCACCTTGCCCTCTGTTGCTTTTAAGTGCTGGTATGTTTTTTCTTTTTTTTTTTTTTCTTAATTGAGTTTTAGCCATTGAAACAAGACTCTTTCTGCTCAAAACCAATCCCAAACTAAGTATATTTGTGAGGATGAGTTTAGGTGGCAGGGACAATTGTTTAACAGAGTGCCATGAATAGCCTTGCCACATTGTCAGCATTGCTGCTTAGAGGAAGAAAACAGTTTGGCCAAGTCTAACTTTGAGGCAGTTTCTATTCAGGTGTCACCTGGAAAGAAACTATATACAGGATGCAGGTTATTAACTTCCCTTACCCTTCATGTGTGATGTTGTTTCTCGTTTGTTTTTCCTACAGTGAGTGGAGTGCAATAGAAAAGGAGATGGGGGATGGGTTGCAGAGTGCTGGCCACCACATGGATGTGTAAGTACTGACTGAATATCTGATAGTTTGATGTAAGCCAGATGTAGAACTCTCCCTCTTTCCTCTCTTTTCCCTCAACCCCAAAGTACATACAAGTAGAGCACAGATAAAGTTGGGAGTGCGTTGTTTTTAGGTATACAGCGTTTCTGTGACTTGGATGCAGGCACAATTTTAGCATCTATGTACTGTATTAAGTAGCTCAAAAGGTCTCAGGAGAACCAGAGGGGTTTCTTTTTTTATTATTATTTTGAAATTGTAGAAGTGCTTGGAGTTCTTCCAGTTTTTCTTTTAAGCTACTATGCCAGAAACCAGTGGAATACAACTTTAATGTACTGCAGACCTGATGAGATCCATTTGGTTTTGATAGCAGCGTTTTGTACCATGCAGTAGATGGTACACAGATTTGGACTTAATTACAGAAAGTTAAGAAATTTAATTAATCAGCACCAAAACTCTAAAGGATTCTTGAAACAAATACTGACTGAATGTAATAAAGTAGAGAATCCTCCCTCTTTGTATCTCTAGAGTCAGTTGGCAGAGTATACGAAACACAGTCTTCAAAATAAGAGTCGAGCGCTTCGGAGTGCTCACAGAAGTGGTATTCTAGGCTCATGCTTTCTGCTTTTCAGGTAGTCATAGATAGCAAGTGAAACAGTATTAATTTCTCATCGCTCTGATTCCTCTTCTATAATCGCACGGTATGGATAAGTAACAACTCCAGCAAGAGATGGAAGCTGTCCTACACTTCATACAGTATTTTTACTGATCAAATGTAATTTGTGTGGAAGTTACCAGTTTTAGTTTACAGTGCAAATTTACCTATGTACTACTACCTGGTGACAACTGGTGTTATGCCTTGTCAAGTGGGAGGGTTTGAAGAGCTATGCCAAACTCCGCCCTCAGCTTCCTCAGAATAATTCTGTTTTTATCAGATCTTTAAGAGTTTTAACCCATCTGAATAATTTATTCACACTTCTGTGTTTTGGATAATGTGGTGGTTTGCACCCAAAAAAAGCTATAATATTTTTTTAGGCAGAGGGCTCTGATGAGAATTAAGAAATGGAGAATACATTCTGCTTTCAGAAGAAAATAATTGAAGTAACGGAATACAATGTTAATTACCTACTACCGTATGCAGAAATTGAAGATATTTATGAAGACATGGTATGATAGAGGAGTTAAGGAGGTTCAAGGAGGTTTTCAGTGGTTCAGATACACCACAATAAGATGTCAAACACCTAGAAATGCGTAACCAACTAAAAGAAGTCGCTTTCGCCTCTCAGTCAGGAGGCTGAGATGTTTAGTGTTTCTGTTTGTAACACAGTTAGGGTTAAAGATCCAGAGTAACGGCAGTGAGTTTCTGGGTAACTTTAATCACTGCTTGAAGTCTGAGGTAGATTTCATTGTCTGTCATCTCCTCCACTCTGGCACTCCTGTACAACAATAATCTTTTAGTGACAATCAAGCAAGAAGCAGCAGCTGTGAGATTCAGGAACTCATTCAGTGACCCATGAGGTCTACTACCAGTAAGGATCATATCTCTGACCTCTTGAAAGTATAACTTAACAGTCCAGTTACCATTCCCATAACATTAGACAGGAGTTCATTGCAACAGAAAGCTACTTCAAGAAGATTGCCTAATATAGATGTTAAACTTCAAGGCTAATTTAATTATTCTCTATCTACCCCATATGCTGTATTCTTTACTAGATGTTTATTTAAACTTTTGAGTTGTTACTGTTTAGTATGATCTAAAACTGCTTAATGTTTGGAGAAGACATCCCAAAGCACCTCTGGGTATGTGTTGCATAAAAGGATCAGGCTTGCTAAAGTGATAGAAAACAACAGTGTGTGCCGAGAAAGCTCGAGTGAATGGCTGTAACTCTGTTGCTTAAAAGATGAAAGAAAAAAATGCCAGAGCTTTGACTTCTGTCCTTTTTGCTATTAATGAGTGATCCTTTATCTCTTATCAACTAGACTGTCATTACAGGTGGAAGCAGTCTAAACTGAAACAGGGGTTTAGCTGATGATTCCCATGAAGAGTGGGAACATATTGGGTGCCTTTACTGCAGTGTTTCTCCTTAAGATTTTCCCTGGTTTGCCTACCTGATTAGGACAAGCCAGTATTTAAACTTCAGCTTAGGCAGTCAGAAATAATAACTTGTGGTTTGTGATGGTTTTTTTTCAAATCAAACTTAAGTGTCATTATGAAAAGCCTGTCTAGGTAAGGTGGGTTTTTGTTTGGTGGTGTGTTTTGTTTGGGTTTTTTGAGAGTTGTTGTGCCACAGATGAGCTCTAGCACTGCTCTAAACTTAGAACTTACTTGAAACTGAAATGTGGTCCATCTGCTGCCCTGAGAAATCTACTATACTAAAATTAATGCACTTCAGAACTTAAAAATAGAGAGGGTAAGCCACTTACGACCTGTGTGGCTGCAGGATTTTTCAAAACGAGTATATTTTTCAACGGTTTGGACTCCTTCCTTACTGTGATTTATAATGTGAATTCTTGTTCTGCCTGTTCTTTTATCCCTTCTACTTAAACTGATCTGCTGTTCCTGGTCACTTTATATGTTATGCATATTTGTCGCCAGTAGCCTTGGTAGGGCTTTTGCTGGGTGTGCCATATCTTTGATTTCGCAGAGCATCGAAACAACTCGTCTTGCTTGCAAACTTATAAAATTCATACTTGAACAGATGGGCATGTCTACAACTCTTCCTCAGGCTCCACATTCTTCCAGTTATTCTGCAAGTAGCCGCTCCCTCTTTGAAGAGCCTTGGTTTGCATGCCCTACTAAGCAGGCCTGAGGAGGATGCTGCCTTTCAGGAGTGTCTCCCTTAGATTCCCAGTGGTCTAAGTGATACTGTTGTTTATTTCAGAGCTTGCGGGAGGGATTTCTTGTCCTCTCCCAAGTCACATTACCAGTTCCCTTTGAGCTTGAGACTCTACCTCTTCTTCCATAGAGCCAGTTACTGAAGAGGCACAGGAAGAAAGGTTTCCCTTTCTTTCTGAGACCTTGCAAAAATTTTAAAGCCATGAGGTGCTGTAATTAATGTTTGGGTCCCATTGTGCTGGTCACTAGACAAGCATGGATATACGCTCACTTCAGAGAGCCTGCAGCTGTGCAAGGGATTGCCACATACTTGAGAATCCAGACTGAGTTGGCAAATAGATAAAGGCATTTGTGATGGGATCTCATTCATTCTGTTTATCTCCGGTGGAACACGCCCTGTACTGCTGGCTAAAGTGGCATCCTATTTCTGTCACTGTGCCAAGTGAGATGTGCAGTTACTTCTTAGCTGCAGGCCTGTCCCTGCAAGCGTGTCCAAGCACAGTCATCTTGGTTAGTGAGAACCTATTAAATGTTATCCAATAAGCAATATAAACTAGAAAAAGAAAGTGCTTTTTTTCCATTTTTAGGAGATACTAGCCGAAACGACAAAACCCTTACTGAATGCAAGAGCTGTGGAGTTGGTCCAAGCCCTTGTACTTCAGATTTCTCCCTAAAAGGCAGATTTAAACTTCTTATTGCTTCGAATTGATGTGCCTGACCTACACAGCAGACAAAGCAACACGCTTTCAAGGAGCTCAAGGACTTAATGTCGCAGTTTTCAGAGCACTGTGAGTTCTGTTGTAGTCAGGCTGAACAATGAGAAATGAAAGCAGCCTTTTAAATACTGCCTCTTTGCTTTTCAGAACATACAATGTTCATGTTCCCATGCCTTAATGCTTTAAGCCTTGCAGAATTTCTTCTGCACCATATCTTTTTTTTTGTCTTGGTGCTGCCTATTGCCTATTCAGTGAAGAAAAGGAATAAATTATTTTCCTTTCCTGTAATAAAACCTGCCTCATCTTCAGCGGGAAACTGATGATAGATGTTGTATTTGTCAAACGATTCATTGTAGTAACAACCAAAGAAACAGGCCTACAGAAGTGTTTATATTAGCTGTTTCAGTGTTTAATTAAAAACAAAGGAAAAACCCCTTTTGGAAGTGCCTTTCACTGTTTTACTTTGACTCGTGTTTCTGTCAAACAAGTGTCCTCCCTTGCTACTGTATGTGTAGTCCTTAAAGGTTAAATTAAGAAACTTTATATTTAATGATGGCTGTTTTCCACCAGATATGCAGCTTCTATTGATGACATACTGGAAGAGGAGGAACATTATGCAGATCAGCTGAAAGAATATCTCTTCTATGCGGAAGCACTACGGTATGTACAGAAGTGTATAGCTCAAATAGAAGCTGTAGTCCTTTCCCTGGACTTTGCCTTGATGTTGAATTTAGGTTGGTATCTTCTGTTCTCCCAGAAGTGGAAATTTCAATGTCGTGGAATCTCCATGTTCTTGCCTCTTATTTTGCTTACTCATATTTGATTGCCATGTGAGTGACAATAAAAATTAGAACTGAGCTGATCAATAGTGAAATGACAAAAACATTAAACTCTGTATACTGTGGAAGGTAATGCTGTTTATCCCTCTGGTTACGCTGTGTCCTTGGCTTCTGGTATATTATATGACCTGGTGTGCTGAAAGCTTCAGCTTTCAAATGAGATAGAGCTCTTACAGCCCTTACAAATTCCAGCAAGTTTCAAAGTGCCTTGTATAACTTTCATCTGCTGTACAGTATTGTGCATCTAAACAGTGACTTTTTTAAATATTTTTTTTTTACATTAGTCTTTATAGGGCAGTCCTCCCTTGCAAGCATGGATACAAAAGCAAATTACTTTATGCTGTGAGATTGCACCTAAAGCTATTGTGCTGTCCACAGGCTGGCTCCAGACCTCTTGGAGAGATTCAGTAGTGCTGTAGAGAATCAGGTTGGTGAGCGTGCTGTGTGGAAACCCAGAGCACTAGTAGCCTCTCCTGGGAGACGAGGCTCTGCATCCGGCAGTGGATTACGGATGTAGCATCGTCAGCCCACACAGGACTGGGACTTACTGCAGGTGGTCAGAGGAAACTCTCCTCTTTTCCAGATGAAAGGCGCTATATGAATCTAGGAGCGCAGTTTCTTGTTTCATTGTTTAAAAAATAAAATGTGAAGAATTTTGATTGACTGATACATTGCTGCTGTGACAGGTACCATCTCCAGATACCTTTTGTCATAGTCGTGATTTTTCTGTAACCTATTTTAAATAAAAACACTTTATGGTGGTGTCCTTAAGTAGGTCGTTGGGCTCGTATTGCTGAGAGTGTCTTGAAATGAGTCTAAAAAGAGGAGCAGAAGAGCAGAATGCTGCTGTACGAAGAACTCTCTTCATGCTTTGATCCAGGCTTGCTTAACTACAGCGTTTGTAGAGTTACACATTCTGTGATAAGGCTGTTGAATTGGAGCTAGATAAATAACCGAATGTGCTGCCTGCCAAAAAAAGGCATGATGCCATTTGTAAAGTTTTAAATGGAGGGAAATGTAGCAAAACAAAATATTTCATGACAGATTTTTCATTGCTTACTTTTCAGGGCAGTTTGCAGGAAACACGAACTAATGCAATATGACTTGGAAATGGCTGCACAGGACCTAACATCTAAGAAACAGCAGTGTGAGGAGCTGGCAACAGGAGTGAGTCCTTCCACTTTCTTCTCCAAAATACCTCTTTTTTATTTATTTTTTTTTATTTGAGCCAAGTTACTTAGGATGACATTTAAATGGCACTAACATGCTGGCTGCCACTTATGAGAAGTGGTATCATATGAGCTGTAGGCATCTGAGGCTTGAAGTAACTCAGTTCTTGGTGACATAAGCTGTTTGTACCAAACTTCTTTTATTAAATACTGAGCAAGTAAAGGGTTGCAGGAAATATGACTTGAGCAGAATAACCCAAACAACTATCCTAAAAATCAAAATTCTGAAAGGCTTTCTCTGCCTTTTGAAAGATGAGTATTACTGATATGTGGCTAGTCTGTTTTATATGGAAGATAATGTTTCTTGGAACATTACCTTAAAGTGGTAACTTCAAAAAAATGTTTAGAATTCTTAATATTGCTGTTGGGTCTATTGATGCTCTATACGCAACTACTTTATGGCTTTTCTTTCTTGTACAGAACACAAGCCGCCTTCACTAAGAAAATTGCTCTGAAAGGTTACCCATGTCAGTGGAATGACTCACTCAGGGTCTGATCCACAGATCAGCCTTAAGAGTTTGAACATGAAATTACTTCTGCCCCACTTTGTTCAGTCTGATGTGGGCTGCTATATCTTTTATAGCTACTTATCAGTGGGACATCCATGAAATGAAAGTTAAAGCCAAAAACCAGCTGAATAATAAGAATAAGCCCAAATGTTGGTGATAATCACTTAATTGTTCAAGAATCTCAAACCTAGAGTGTCTCTGTGTTTTGTAGACTGTGAGAACGTTCTCCCTGAAAGGCATGACCAGCAAGCTCTTTGGGCAGGAAACCCCCGAGCAGAGGGAAGCCAAGATAAAAGTTCTAGAAGAACAGATACAGGAAGGAGAAGAACAACTTAAGTCTAAAAATCTGGAGGGCAGGTAAATATGCTTGACTCTTTCAAAGAAAACACAGGACTTGTCTTAGCAAAAGTCCTTGACTGGATGCTCTTGAAGGTGTTTGCATTTTATAAGTGTTTTTAATATATTCTTGGTGTTTATGAGCTGTCTATAAAAGCTCCTGTCAGCTGCAAGTTGTGAAATAAAGTACAGTACATGCAGTTAGCTTCTGGTGTGAGTGTATGGCTTATGTAAAACCTGATGACTTTCCCAGTTACTGAGCCCGCTCTGATGGCTGACTTGCATACTTTTATGTTCAGCTAGTAATATGTTTAGCAGGTGGGCTTGTAGATCTGCAGCTGAATAGCCTAAGACTCAAAAGCTGATTTGCTTCAAATACAGTATTTAGTTTGGTTTATGTGTATGAGTCCTGAGCTCATATTCTGCAGCTTTTCATATGGGGGACAACTGACTCCTGTTTGGAAGAGATTAGAGGTTCTGGTGAGTTGTGTTTGAGTAACTGCTTCTCCGTGCTCTAATGACATTTTCTTCAGGAATGCAAACATGAAAAAAAGGAACTAACATTCTTAAAGCAAAGTGATTGTGTCAGAACACGTTCATTGTATAACGCAAGGGGTAAACGTGGTATCTCCTAATATGTTAGGATTAGAGCTGGAAAGATAAGACTAGTTCATGAATAGTTCAAAACAACAAGACGCTCAGTAAATGCAATTTCTTAATCATTTTGACAGAAGTACTGGAGATCTGCTTTTGTAGCTCTGGAAGCAATTTTCAAGTGAGTACTTGCCTTGTGTGTATAGTCCAGCACAAATGAAAGCTATGAATTACAGAAGTCTACCTCCATTTTAGTTAAGGAGACCTGAAGACACATCACCAAACCAGCAGAATTAATTCCTGAAGTGGGATTGTCCAAGTCAAATTGGCATTGTAAATGTTTGTTGTACTTAAGTGTCTCAAATCCTGACAAGTGAGTTTTCACATTGGAAGGACCAAGATTGACTTGACAATTGACAAAGAAATGTGTGATGTTGTGTGCTGAATGTTGCATGAAGATACTTAGTTACCTCAACAGAATCTGAGAAGAAAAGTATGTTCTGAATTATGCTGGTTCTATGGCAGTGGTGCTTACTGGGGGAAAAACAAACAAACAAACAAAAACCCACAACAAACAACCCACTGCATCCTGTGAAACTGATTCTCTAGATTAAAAACCTTAAGATGATGATGGAGAATTAGGTAGTAGTGCCAATTATAAAATGAGAACACTGTGGGATGCATAATAACTACAGAACTTGGTTTACTGACTGAAAGATGGAGCGCTTTATCACACATAGCTTCTCTGCTGAGGGTTCAGAGGAAGGAAGATCAGCAGAGGATGGAAGGTGTAAAACACTTACTAACAGCAATATTACTTCTAATTCCAGAGACTTTGTGAAAAGTGCCTGGGCTGACATTGAACGGTTTAAAGAACAAAAGAATCACGATTTGAAGGAGGCGCTTATAAGCTACGCTGTTATGCAGATTAGCATGTGCAAAAAGGTACGTTTGTGGAAGGCCAGGCTAGTGTATATATCGTAACAGCAGGGGATCAGATGCAAACTTCCAGTAACTAGGAGCGTTGCGGTCACAGAAGGTTGGGAGTCACTAGCGTAAAACCTCCCACATTTTCTGTCTTGCTCTCGCTCGGTCACGTGTTAATGTTGATGTATAATAGGCAGTGTGGGCCAAATCAAGTGTGGTCTCTGCCTTATTCTTGTGTGAAGTTCTGTGGGACTTTTTTTGTAGAGTCTTCTGTGGCAGGAAGGCTGTTGATGAGGTTTGCAAACAAAGTATATTTCCACCTATTAATTTTAACTTTTTTTAAAAGGGAATTCAAGTTTGGACAAATGCAAAGGAATGCTTCAGCAAGATGTGATTGTCTGGAAATGAATTCCTCGTCCAAGTGCCAGAGAATGGAAGCACAAATGTATAACACCGATGTTAAGTTGCTACATGACTTACGTATAAACCATGAAATAAATGAGTGAATAGTTTTTCTTTCTGCTGATTGTAATTGTTAATAAAGGACAAGAAGGACATGTTACTAAATGTTTAGCCCTGACTGCCACTTCTGTGGCGTGTTTTATATGTGGTAGCAAATAATTCAGGGGTAAAAGAGTTACTGAAAACTACAACTCTGTATTGGGGCAAAGGTATAGGGAAAGTTATCCCAGAAAGTATGAACTGAACTGTTCTGAGACTTGTGAAACACCGTGCTCTGTAATGTGTAGATCACTTCCAGATGCCCTTCTTTTCAGCCCTTGCTCTTTAGAGTTTGTAATGCTCAAGGGTGCTTTGGTTTTATAATGGGGGACACAGTTGTGTTCTTGAGGTCTACACCATAAGAGGACAAAAAAAGAAATATTGTGATGCCTAGGGTTCATATTTAAATGCCTTTGCACATCCATAGAGAAATGTGCTTTTCCAGAGTTCAGGTTAAGCAGTCTCGAGCTCCTGAGATGTTTGAAACTCTCTACAGTAGAGGTGGTGTACAATGGTTTGATACAATATTCTGCATTTACTGTTTCCCACTTAAGTTTTGATATGGGCATTGATTTCTAATGAAACTTCTTCCTGCAAGTAAAGGAGACTGGTGATCCAGCTGAGCAGCAAAACCAAAGTCAAAGCTGGTAAGAAGTGGATGCAACTTCCGTTTGGTTGTTTGGAACCCGTTTACACTAGATGTGAATCTGGCCTGTGGTACCTCTTCTTGTAACTGAAGCAGTTTGGTTCTTAAAAGAATAGTTCTTAATGAAGATGCTGAAATAAAAAACCTGGTGCAACTTCCGTAGTACTTAAGAGCAGTGATGTGCAGAATCCACAACGAACCAAGGTGTCTGTTCGGCTCTTGTAATGTTTTGGTGTGTGTGTGTGTATATATATGTGCGTATATATATACACACACACCCTCCCCAGTACAACATGATTCGCAGTTCCAGGTACTTGCGTTACATGTTTGCAATTACGGAAAACGGTTACCACTGTCTAATATTGGGCTTTTTCTACATACTTAAAGTTCCTGAAGTCTTGTGCAATTTGTCAGACTCGATCGCTAGTCCTAAAGGAAGCTTTGTAATATTCTCTTGAAAAGTGTATTTAATTATTCTGAATTATAACACTACTCAGATTTTGATTTTTTTTTTATTTTTTTTAAAGAGATACTCCAGGAAGTCCTTAAAAGTTCTTTTCCTAGAAAAATTATTGATAATGTAGTTACTGATATGTCCCATGTCACTTTTGTCTCTGCAGCATTTCTTTTCTATAAAACCATTATAAAGAATTACTAGGCCTGGTGTACACTAAAGCTTAAAACTGTGAAGTAAAATACTGGTCTCTCTGGTAACTGATGTTGGCTTTTTCAAAGTGTATGACAGTGACACTCCTGGCTGAGAGATGATGTTGGGCAGAAAGAGGTCTCCATATGACATGTACAAGGAGAAGTGTTGTTCTGTTCAGAGGTTGCAGGATCCAGTTCCGATACAGGCTGAAGGACTTTTACATTCCGAACCAAGAAGTTGCACACTTGATGTATTCAGTAAACCTTCTAAAGGAGTGGTGCCTTATTACAATACCGTGAGGCGCTCACAGTAGGTATTTTTCATGCACTTTGATTTTTTGGTAGATTTTTCTGGTGCCTCTTTCCACATTTCACTTGCTGTACAGCTCATTAAATGTATTAGTATGCCTTTTTTTCCTTGCTAGTTGTACTAAATTTAAGAAGGGAACAAAACAGTTCTTGTAAGTTTTGTGCCAAATAAGCTAAATAAAATTGCTCTTTGATATTTTTGTTATGTTAGTTTTTGTAAAAACGCCGTCTTCCCAATTCTGAGAACTGCTGTTCGATTTCATGAAATCGGTTTTTGTCCATCTTAGCTCTCAAATGGCCTCCAAACTTGGGTTTGAAATTTAAGAAGTAAATTGCCTATAACTAGCTTATTTGCCTTTTAGGTGAAGAAGTTAGTATTAAGGCCAAACTTAGGTGCTTGTTACAAGCCGGCTTTGGTCCCTGCTTTGTTTTTGCCCAAACAAAATCAGACACCTGAATTTCACGCATTTCTTCATCTAGGTAAAAGAAAATGCATTTGAAAAGGTTGTTTAACAGAAGTTGGGTGAAAGGTGGGTTAAGGACAATTTGCAATAACTTCTGCTGTTTGCAGAAAAACATTGCACGTGGTCTGTGTACTTGTGGATCTTAGCAAACAGTGAAGGTTTTTCCCCTTCTTTTAGCTTTTTAACTTTTAAGGGGAAATCATCTAGTTAATGGTTGTTTCCGTGTGGTTAATAGAGCCCAGGTGACAAATGCACGCTTGTGCAGTGTGCAGTTTCCCAGTT